CGCTGTTGCCATTGCGATCTAACGTTGCAAGGCGAAAGTCCAATTTATTCCGTTTGAATAAATTTCTCAGTCGAACTTCTACGGGGGATTCGAAACTTCGTTTCAAATAATCTGCCCTCAAGACCTTGCTCGATCGATCGATCGATTGATTGGATAGACGCAGCCACCGTAAGCTGTCTGGCGGAGGATCATCTCGAGACTATTGCATACGGTTGACGCCGAGAGCCTTCGCGAGAGGCCCGAGCGATCAAACAAATCAAGTTCCCTCCCGGATTAAAGGATGATCTAGGGTTCGGTCACACTCTGTCCAGGCATTCACCTAGGAATCCCTCGTGTCGTCTTAGCGGGGCCTAGGCGGATTTTACCGGTCGGCAATCTTACGCGCCATTTGATCCAAGTATGAGCTAACAGCAAACATCCAATGGGACATCAACCGAGACCACGTAAGCAGCGCGAAATTCGTCGAACGTGAAGCTCAGAAGCGAATGACGACGACGTTGGATTTCTAGCCTTTGCACGACTGCAGCGGAATAGCGCCGGCGCCGCGAACAGGGGCCAACGGACAAATTACGCCCGGCACTGAAGATGGCGCTGCCGCATTACGTAACGGGCCGTTGCTGCCCCGCGAAGATGCGACGAAGCTATTATTTGGCTCCGATGAATTCTTCGACGGTGTCGATCGTACTGATCTCGAGGACTTCCTTGCCGAAAAAGCGTCACGTCGGTGAGAGGCTCAGACAGCGCTCTTCGAGAACCGAGGGGAGGTCTTGATTGTTGGTCCAGCTCGGGACACACAGCTTCTCCGCCCGAAGACCGCGCGCCCTCCAGGGCGTCGTCTGGTGAATGCGGTACCGCGGGATTAACTCCGCGAGAGCGCCCCACCGACGTTTCGGCTTGAGGCTCTGAGCTGAAATCGAGACTCGATCGCTTGACAGTCAGTCGAAGATCTACTTCGTCGGTCGTCTGAAGCGACCGAACAGTCAGTCAGCTGCTTTCGAATGAAAAACGGAGACAAGCACAAGGGAAGCTGGCGGAGCCGCAACAGCGACCAACAATAGAAAACGCATGCACTTCCTCTTCCTCCAGCTTGTGACGACACTGAAAATGCTTTGCGCTAGCTTCCCGACCGGCGTCACAACGCGCGACTCGCAGCTGCTTGGAGCGAGCGCTCATGACTCCGACAGTATTCTAGCTAGCTGACAGTTCAGTAACAGGATGTCTCGAATAATGGGAAAAGTCCCGAAGCGAATTCTCGATCGCTTTCGAATCACGATTCGGAAAATGTTCCGCCAGGCTAAAAAAAGAGAACCGTGGAAGCCTTCGGAAATTTCGGGGTCGTAGCTTATCGAGTCGGAGCCGTGTCGAGTAAACTTCCATGATTATCCAACTTAGTGAATCGGTTCAGGACCCAACAACCCATTGACTAGCGGTTGCTCCCGCCGAAACGGAGCCAGACGGGGGGTTTCGGCTTTCATTCGATCAGAACACTTTCGGTGGTCAGTCGCGATCCGTTCGGCACGCCAGGAACCGATCATCGAGCGAGCGAGCGCGCAAGCGACGAACCGATGCTGACTTGTTAGTTTGAACATCGATCTGGGAACTGAGTAGTGGATATCGCCGGTGATCTAGCGCCCGCCAGGTGTTGCACCGCGGGACTAGTTGGTTGGACACCGAAGAGAGAAACGTATCGACTTACTACTACGCTCCCGAAGACGCGATGAGTAAGCGGTATATGATGGCCACGTGATGAATTTGTCCTCATCGTACGAGCTCGCGGTTCGCGTTCGCTCTCTCGGCCTCGGTTTCGGCATGGCACGTTGGTCGAGCGTGGAAAAACGTCCGCGGCAAGATTTTTCCACGGAGCACTTGATCACGAACGAGGTTTGCACTTTGACTCGCGAGGCTCAATCCGGCAAAGTACGTCTTGGCGCAACTAAGGAGCCCAAGGGAGAAATCTATGCGGATTTTTGGAAATACTATTCGCTGAATTTTTAAGACTTCTCCTCGCTCTTTAAAAAAGTTCCCCAAATGAGCGGATTCCGGAGCTCCAGCTCAGGCCAGCGATGTCGGCGCTGGCTGAGTAAATGGCTAGTAAGCAAGGACTTGGTAACAAGCGACGGTTCGAGGCACTTCTTTGAGGAAGCTATTGTGCCCACAGAAAAAAAAATCAGGGAAAACCGCTGATTGACCGACTGAAGGACTGACGGGATGAAGAACCGTAAGAATCCCCGACAATGACCCATTACTGGATGGGGTGAACGATACTCGGTCTCCGTATGACCGTATGTCGTGCTTGGTGATTCCTGATGACACCGTGAGTGACGGAGTTTTTCGTCAAGCATGAGCCCGGCTCGGAGTTCACCACTGCCGAAGAGCCCCGAACCGTGGGCACGGTGTCAATAATTCGTTCATCCATCTCAGCGCATGATTGCCGCTGGATCCATAGTGCTTCCCTCATATATCATTCAACGATAACGTTATTAAGGCAGCCATGTAATAGACGCAGAGACGTGAAGCCTTTTGCTCCCACCGCACGCTGTCTTCTCCCCTTGCTTCGCCGACGCAACGACGAATAATCGACGCGAGCATGTACAAACGCTCACACAAACGCATTGGAAGATCTTCAAATGTCTGTCTGTTTTCCTCGTGCTCGCTCTATCTTACTGGCTCAATAGCGCCGCTTGTGTGTGGGGACTTCCGCCATGCAAATGCACCGGCGATGCCGAGCGACTCTCGCCGCACCAAGTTGCTTTGCCCTTTTTCCATCTTCTCTTTTCTCCGCCATTCTTTCGTTGGCTACCGAGCGAGGCATTTTCGGTTTCGGAGCCGCCGCTTTCTAGCTTAGTCGATTGTGTCCCATGAACTTCGGTCACGTGCGTCTCGATCGATCTTGGTCGACTTTCACTACCCGGGCATCGATGCACAACTTTCGACGGAGAAGTTCGGTGACAATACGACTTTCCATTAGGTCGTTCGGCTAGTGTCGGCTCGATCCTGCTTGCTTTCGTTTTCGAGTGATATATTCCGCGGGCTTGACGGCTTTGATCGTCTCGTCCTATCGGTCTGTTGATCGGAACACCTATTAGCCGTGACGCAGATGGCGGCTCCATGCGAGATTCGCGGCAATTCTGCGTTTTCGAACTATCGTTCCAATCAATTACTCTTTCGCGGCTTCTGTTTTTTTTCTTCGATGACGGATGCCCGGGTGCACCTCAACGAAGGCGACATGAAGCTCTGGCCGAAATAAGATCGACTAATAGAAAACGCCATCGGTTCGTCGTCGCTTGGAATCGGTGGCTCCTGAAGACAATCCACAGCTATCAACACAGAGATCTTATGACACAGTCATCGTGAAGTTCCGGCGTATCGTATCAGCTCCACGCGGTGCCCGTGTGAGAAGTAAACAGCGTGTCTTTTTTTGATCCTGAAATCGCGCAGGCCGCGAGCGGTATAAACAAACGGTGCAGCCACGGGAAGATTCGTTCTGCCCCTGCTCAAACGTAGATCGTCGATTTTATCAGCCATCCAGTAACCACCTGTATATGGTAAACCGGATTTTGATGGGGTTCGACAAAAACCCGGGATGAAAGTCGGACAATAGCTCGCGAACTAGAGCCCGCATCCGCGACATCATCGCATGGAGTCCGGGCAGAGAACCAAAAGACATGATGTGCCGAGACATGATTTCCGCGACATCATGATCTGCTAGGAAACTTCCAGGCTCCAGCCCTTCGCCAGAACCCAAGTGTCCGAAGGCCGACTCTGAGATGGGGGGCCGGACCTCATCCTGTAGGATGCTGTCAGGAGTTGCCGGCACTCGCCAACATGTTATTCGGGATAACCCGTTCACTTTACGGTGATGACAGCGAATGTTGAAACCTCCCACGACATCAATTATAATTTCTCGAGGCCGATTGCTCTTTGATGAGCGCCCGCTGACTGTTGATCCGTCGGATCGGTTGAACGAACCCGCAGCTTCCCGGATCGCTAAAGATTTCGACAGGTAACGCGTATCCAACATACGGATCCTGAAGTACGGACGGCTTATTCGGATTCATCCTAATAAACGTATATCCCGAGCGAAAGAGTTCCCCGTTGGGAAAAGAGGGAGCGTTTCCCGATTGCCCAAAAATGAGGGCGGATAAGTGTGCGGGAGGTTGGAAAAAGAGGAAATATTGAAAGAAAGACTGACTCTCTTGAATACAAGAAGCCTTCGGACGGAACCCTTCCGAAAAGTGGAAACAAGCAGTAGAAACAATGGGAACCACCGGGGAATCCGAACTGAAATGGGAACGAAACGCGACCGAAAGAACTATCGCTCGAATTGCGTGCGTTCAATTGTGCGGGCAACCTTGACAGCGTCTGATGAATAATAAAGCTATCGGAAGCAAAATGTTCCATCCGCAGATATCTATAGACCACGGCATCACATCCGCGTTTTGCTCGCCCGACCACCGAACATAATCAAAGCTACCCCGCCAGACAGTTGAACGGACCAACGAACGAACGGTTCGACAGACGCCACCGCTCATGTCTGTCGTTGCCGTCAGCGGAGGCAATACGAAAAGCAAAACAAATGAACAGCGACAACATCGCGTGGAGGCAACAGCTAGATCGATGGGTGTTCTTCTCATCGAGTCAACCCTTTTCAAGTGATACATTTGCGTACAGGATTTTCGTGAAAGATCACCGTCTAGCGGAAGCGGGTGCCGGGGCGATAAGTACGCTTTTCTGGTTGACGTCGCTCCGAAGCGTAGACGAGTAAGGTGCCGCTGCCGTAGAAGACTGCGCGAGGAAGGCAGCGGACGTTCTCTGCACAGAAGGTCAGATACGAACAAGGAAGACACTATCCCGTTGAACAGATCACGTCGGTTCCATCCTACACCAGATGCAGGCATAAACACTTCCTCAAATTCCCGATGACCTCAAGCTTGTCAAGTTCAAGAACGCTGTCGTAATCCTATTACCTAGCTTGGAGAGGCGGAATTTCACACACTCACCAATATGCAGAGAGGATCCGTCATAAGGTGCACTACCACCTCGGCGAGCCGGAAGAGTGTGGAACGATCCTCGCTCTCGAGAACCACGGTGGCACCTCCGAAGAACGACCACGCTTCCGCGATGCCCGACGTGTAGTTTGGGTTCGAGCGCCATTCTTCTGTCGCAGAATTTTCAACGCTGGAAAAGAATAATACGTACGCTGTAGAGATCTGTCTCTCGGAATATCGGATGTCCGGAGCTGCATGTCGAGAACAGCTTCAAAATTGTTTCCTGGACGAGGGGTCCTTTGACACTTCATCGGATGAGAGTTCTGCTCGTTCTCGGAAAACAAGGAGAAAGTCGAAATATTCCATCGAACGATGAAAACGATCCATCAAAGCATTCTCCGAGTGGTCACATTTTGAAGGTTAGATATTTTGAGCGGGACTTTCGTTGACCGGATCTGACGCGGGCTGCGATTCGCGTCGCGGATCACTTCTTCTACGGAGTATCGCCGGAAATCAGCGGATGCTCTTCGCGATATTAACGATTCTCCAATTCTTCTCGAGCTCCATCGATTCTCTCTCCGACCAGAATGAATGGCGTTCCTGGAGAGATTCGAACGAAGGGGGAAGGATCTCAGCGGATTCGAACGAGGTTTCTGTCACACCGTCGCAACTCATCTTCTCGAACGATGTGCGAAAGGAGGAAAATCTGCGGGAGCTTCTGACATGCTCGTCGCTCAAGGAGACTGAGACTGTTGCCTCTTCCTTTTGTCCGTTGCTCAGTCCAGTTAGCGGTTCGAATTGGAAAATGCAATCAGATGCTAGCCGTTGATAAGTGCGCTCTTCAGTTTATTCCGTTTCAAGAAAGCGGCTCGCGACGGTTTGGCCCGAATGCGAAAACTCGGTTGTCCGAAACAAAAGCCAGCGAGCCAGCAGAGCCGAGCGGCCGACTACCGGTCAAACAGAGTCTGTCCAGCTAACTTCGGAAGCGGCTGGTGCTGATGGTGACCCATGGTTTAATGACGACGACAGATTTTCTCGTGGAAAGAGATTCCACCGGACAAGGGGTACTTTGGAAGCACGGAAACGCTCCCTCGGTGCCGCGAGCCAAACAAACACTACCAGAGACACGCACACGTCGTCCTACTGAACTCAGAAGATTAGAGGCATGCGAAAGTGAATCCGTTCACCGTATTCCTCGACGCTCTTCACAATTCTCTCGCTTGGGAAAACTACGAGATGGATGTCCGGGGAACGGTGCGACAGAAAGCGAAAGCGCCGCAGGTGGCTCCGACACAGTCTGCGATCTTAAAGATATGCGCCCAGCTTGAGCTCACGGCTCCTTCAAGGATCCGCTTGGAAAGTCTAAGGAAGGTAACGGAAAATCTCTCCGGGTCGGTGTAGCTCGCCTTCCGCCGCATACCCGCATGTCCGTTGAAACCCAGCCCGAGTTGGTTTTTTGGATTTTCGGTGATTTCGAATTGGGAACCGCTACGAAGGCTCTGACTTGATGCATTCGATATTCTTCTAGAATCTTAAGCTCTAGTCCCACGCATGGACTGGAAATAAAATGATTCGTGCGTGGGACTGTCCCTTCCGTCAAAAACATGCTACGCGTGGCTTTAGATTCCATGTGAGAAAGTCCACGCCGCAGAAGCGGAATTCGGACTCGCAATCCGTGCTTCTCGGGGGCGACAGGATTAAAGATCTGACAGCCGATCCGCCGAATAAACTAGCAAGCGAGTCTACTTCTGATAATAAGCATCGCGATAATTTCCACAATCCCTGATCCACAGGAGAGAAGCGAAAACACGAGATCTGAGACGTCAGAGCAACCATGGAGATTCCACCAGCGAACGACACGCTGTCACTCTCGCAACTGACGCACGGTTTGTGATGGAGTGACTGACTGACGGACGGACGGAGTCGAAGTTGGCCGCTGAGGCTTCGAGCAGTGAACCTCAAGTGGGCAATAGCACCAGCAGGGCAAATTCACGAGTCAACGACCTGGGGCCCGGGCAACCTTAAGTCGCTTAGTGGGCCCCAACGGCCGATGCGAGTCGGCGACATCGTACGGAAAACACGATATTCGAAGAGTCATGATCTCGAGGTGGGCGTGGAAGGTAGAAGATGCCAAAGCATGTGTGTGTCGAGGCGATGCGTTGAGCAAAAATCAAATGCATCAAAATATGACTCCACTGAGGTATTCCCGGCGACCCAATGCCATGAAAATGACGACGTTCGCGGACCACGGTATACAGGGGAGGCTTCCAAGTCACGACCGCGAGCCACAGCAGAGAATATTTATATTAAAATATTCCGACCTTCAACCTGTCCATCGGTTCGTTGACGCTTTGAAACTGTTGTGCAATAGTCAAGGAAGCAAGCGGGCGAACAGCGAGACGGATGGGTAAATCGATGGACGAGTGGCGAAGAAACGAGGGAACGGATGAATGGAACCACAATATTCAGCGAAGGATCACTCTCACAGACTTCGGCCAGCGCTTTCACTAGCATCGCCTCGTTGGAGCAGCGCGCGGGCAGCACGGTAGCGTTCATTCAAGAAGAAAAAACCTCTTCGCTGCCGATGTCTGCGCGAAGTTGTCGACCACGGCGACAAGCAATGCAGCTATGAGAACATCGTAACGAAGTAAGCGCTTGTCTCCACTGATGATTTCCTGTTTGTGAGTTTTACAGGATGATTGCCGGAGTGGCACTCGCACGAAATAACGAGATCTGTCAGGCGGGCCGAAGTACTCGGACGCAAATAAAATACCATGTTGTCATTCAACATTGAAACGCTCTTGCGAAGCGACTGTCATCGCGCCCAACCCTGGGATCAACGGCTCGCGCGACAGCCGTCCGTTCAAATGAGCTTTCCGAAAAGTTGACGCCCGGACAGGACCTTCGGAAGAAAAATTGCATAGGTGGTCGCGGATTTGTACGGTCTCATTCATGGAAAATACGTCAAATGAAAAATAGTGCTCCAGCAGTGATAAGGGAGTCGCTCCGGATTTTACGGGATTTTCGATCCTTGAGCTAATTACCGCAATCGTTCGGGCTTGCGTGCATGGCGGGAACGAAGACAAAGTCATTCACACAGAGAAACTTTGCGTCATTGCGAGTCTGGTCGAGCCTGGCATTCAGAGGCCATCCAACTATGACGGTCGTAATCATCGATTGGCTAACGTCATTCTCGGGAGCTCCGTGTAGTGCGTCGTGTTTGTTTGCAACGACTTCTTGTGTACCGACACACACGGACGGCTTTGCTGGGTGGGGGGATCAGTTTCCGGTCAGAGTTCGGCGGCACGAGGTTTGGGATCATACCACGTCGGCGACCGGATCAGCGACCAGCCGTTGTTGCCACATGGCGCACCGACGATCGTTGTGAATGGTAGGTGGAGAGGCTCTCCTGAATCTTACTCGACCGGCTACTGCACGGACCGGCGGATTCCCTGGCATCGCGAGGGAAATTACTGAATCGACTCCGGTCTGGTCGGATAGCTCACGAATGGCATCGCCTGTTCTCGGCGAGCAGTCGAGATTTTGCGCTCTAGCCAAGAAAACATCGGAATCGTTCTCGTTCGCAAAGCATCTCTAGTCATGCGAGAGGCCGGCAAATTGCCCACGCTCGTCCCAACGGCTATAAGCAAGCTTAGTGAGTGTCGATCGAGATCTTGTCCAATACGCAAACGAAAATCCACTGTTGTGACTGCGACGAATGGCCACGAGCAGTTGCCACCAGCGCGGTCGATGCTGCGGCGGCTGCTGCTGCTTGTTGCGCCGGCGAAGACGGAAGAAGAACCGTGTGTGACGTAACCGCTAAGCGGGGCTTCAAGACTCAACCCAACGTTTGGATGAAGACTTGTTTTTTCTACGTTTTCTCTCCTGCTCCACCGGGCCAACAAACGGAGGCCCCTTCGGCATCCACTTGGCCGGGTATCTCCGACTGCCACGACCAAGTTTCATTTTCAGTGCCTGCCGTACTGTATTCGGCTGGGGTCTTCATTTCGGGAGTTGCCGAAAATTCTCTCGACAACTTCGACATCTCAACCGTTCGGATAGCCGAAGTCCTCCCCGGGACATCTTCGGTCGAGACGTGGACATGAACGAAGATTTTCAGTGTCAAGATCAAGATGGTCGCGGAAATTTTCGCCGAAAAATTCACGCAGCCGCCCGAGAACTCTTAAGCACCTACGAACGGCGGTTTGTCAGATTTTTCTGGAAAAATGTCGAGTTTTTGTCGATCTCCATCTCTCGCTTTGGGTAGGACAAGGTTCCCGCGACTTCGAGCGCATTCCAACGAGACCGAACCAGCCGGATCGAAATCTCCGGGACGTTTCTCCGTCAGGAAGTCCAGGGGGAAGAATTCGTGGAGCAATATGAGATTCCTTTTCCAAAGTGCCAAGATCGTGCCACACGAGTCGAAAACACCCATAGCGGCTTCGTAATGATAACTATTAAGCCAGGTGAAGTTTTACAATAGGTTTTTCAATCGTGGGTCGGGAACGCTCTGGCTAGTGCTTGGATGGCAGACAGCCACGCGGGGTGGCCGCTTGACTGGACAGCCGAGCAGCTTGTATTGTTGAAGAAGATTTTGGTTGTCTGGTGGTGGTGGCTACAACACGCCCCCATGCAGACGACGTTGCGGAAGTCCGCACGGCTCGGTCGGGCGTTAACGCCATGCTCTGTGTTGCCCCAGGTTCGATCGGACGATGTTTCTATTTTCTTCTCCTCAAGTTTCTCTTAACGCCGAATCGAGCAGCCGCTGTTCGACGAAATCGCAAACAGTCGACCTCCCGCGCGAATGAACTGCGGTCGACATAAGCGATCCATGCACCATCCAAGGTATTCGGCGATCAGAAGCGGTGGAGCCGCCGGAGCGGTGAAAAATCAGAAGCAAAGAGAGGATTCGATAGCGATCCAGTCGGGCCGTCAAATCATCTTGAAGGACTTCACAAAGAAAGCAGAAATTATCCTCGGTCGGTGGCAGCTCCGCAAGACAGATCTTGTATGATGTCATTTTCCGGAGAAAGTGAATATATTCTGTTGGATTGAGATGGAGTAAGATCGCCGGCTGAGGGTGCCAATGAAAAAAAATTTCATTGCCGCCGATGACTTCGTCCCTTCCGCCGCGGTCATCGTCGACGAAAAGCTTCGCGAGAATGCCTCATCCATCGAGCATACTGCGGGCACCGAGATTCTTAGTTCGATCGCCAAAAGACTCCGGAACGAATCGATGAAAAGACTGAATTAATGAATGAATGAATGCTCCGATGAACAGCGAGCAGCCATACCAAGTTCGCTGGTGTGCCAAACGACCGTCTTCGGTTTGTGGCATCGCTGTGATCCCCGGGGATTCGGAGAACGAGAAAACATATTTTGAAGAATCGCAGACCCTCGATGATTGGTCCAGATGGACGCATGCTGCCTCGCTGAATCAATCAAGCGGTTTCGCTAATTCTGAACCGAGTTGATTCGTCTTCTAATGAACTCTCTCAAATCAGCGATACCGGAGATTCTAGTCCTGCACTCGCCGAGACAGAAAGGGAAAACACTGCCTTACCGGTTGAAAGCGAGATGCGAGGCTGCTGTCGCAGACAGAAGCCAACATCGAATCTCACAAAAAGGAGTGAACACCGAACCCTCTAGTCGCTCCTATCTGCTATCTCTCGGTATTCGATAAACAGATAAGGTGACCAGGCTCATATGAGTATAATGGAACGGGAATCGAGCCAAGTCAAGACAAAACACTACTACTGTTGGTGGAACCGCACGACCTTCGAAAAACTGAGCAGCGGAAATTGTCCCGAGGCTCTGATTTGCCTACCTAATCGAGCTGGTCGCCTTCAGACGCTTTTGCCTGAACGAAACTCCCTCGCCATAGATACAGGCCTCAAGTTATCCGCGTCGGCGGTCGCAACCGACAGCTTTCGTATTCAGTACGAGGCTGACCCGCGCGATTTGTCGTTCAGGTAGAAGCATCTGGAATTCTCTCGCGAGGGGACGTCGTTTCATTCGGTGCATTCCAATTTCATCGCTCGGATCTAGCCTACGCAAGTGAAGATCAAATAGCAGTTGAACTTCGATCCCATCGATCATACCAACATAACGAAAATCCCAGTCGGTAATTCGATCGGAGTTCCTCCGTCATCGATCGGTTTGGTGGTCCTTTGAAATTCCCAGGTACTTGATTGCGAGCCGCGTGTGTAATTTCGCCGTTCTGTGAACTGTAAACACTCCGAATTCTCGGAATTTCACCAGATGAACCAGAGTGACAGCAACGTTCGGCGATTGTTCGTTATATGTACAGCAATTCGATTTGGGCGATAAGCCCTTCGGCAACAAACTCTCGGAAACCCCCGTCGGAAATCTCTTGGAATCCTCCGTCATGGGATTTCATGGACTTCCGACAGCGCCCCGAGAAACGTCGGCCACGAGTCCGAATCTCGCAGAGGTGAACTCCTTCGCCGCGAAGATATTTTGTATACTGTGATGATGCTCTCCTGCCATTCGATGCCGATCACGCTTTCCTCTAATCGGTGGAGCGGTACGTCGAGCCATCTGTGACTGACGATCTCTAGATAAGCGACTGATATCTCTCAGGGCGCGTTCTCTGATATGCATGAGCCAGGATTGGTGGGTCACGATTGAGACGAAACCTTGAACTCTCATCCCGGAGCGGCCACCTATCGATCATCGGGGCGGCATCAAGTCAGAAGCTGAGCTTGGAAAGTTCCCAAATTTCCATGGGATGATTATTCTTCTTTTCGTCAGATCCTCAGCTCGCTCCTCCGTGGTCGAAGCTCGTGTTGACGAGATTCGGAAAGAAGTGATTGGACAATCACGGTGGATCACGTCGATTCTCGCATTCTTTCCGCGAATTTTTCGCCTCCGAGGCACCGTGCGAAGCATCGCATGCAATATGCCCTGGATGACTTCGCCAAATGCGAAGAATATACTCGGAGACTATCCGCTGTCTGATCGCAGGATGTCGTGCTCCACGTCTCCTACAAATGGCTGCCTCTGAGTCCGATCGTCGTGTTCTTGGTGTCCTTATGCGAATCACAATTGGTAAAAAATCATCTTTATGGAACCGTAGCCGAGAATCCGTCTTCAACGAGCTCGAACTTCAGCCCGCTCCAGTACGCTCTCAGTCGAAGCGTCGGAAGACCTCTATATCGACGGCGAAGAACGCCGTAAGGAGAAGTCTACCGTGACTAAACTCGACGACAAAATGAACAGAGTCCGAACGCCGTTCGTATTCCATTTCCGTGGCGCGCGCTTTCTCCTTGCGTTGGACGGACCACACTTCACAGGAACGAAGCCGAAGAATTTCAGAGCTCCCGCTTACGTACGGAGAGGTTCCGGCACCACCGTCCATTGAGATCTCAATGCACCAGAGAGCAGCGTAGTCATCAGAATCATGGGGAGTCGGAGCGAGCCAGAAGGCCGCATCCGGCCGTACCAGCTGTCTACAAAAACCCATCTGCCAAATGGGCCGGAGGCCGGTTGCTCCGTCTGCCACAGAGGGATTCGATGTGGCGCGAAAGCTACAAGCGACCTCGCCTGGCTCACTCACCGGACCGCCGATCGGTCTCCATCGATGACACGCTCTAATTTTTCCGTGTCATCTCGGAGACCGAATTGCGCAATTGTCTTGAATGGAAAGGCCACGAAATGTTTCGAAGGTGAAACATCGTGCTATAACGGTCAGTAACGAGCCGATTGCGGTCGGCAGCTTGAAATTTCGCTCGATTGCACCGGCTCACGTCCAGCTGTATGACATAACTTTCAATATTACATTGCGTTTATCGCAAAAATGAAATGCGTTGAGCGGTTGGGTTGATGGGCTTCGGAATTATCACTCGTTCTCGGACCACATGTTTTCAGCGCCTTTATTCACGTCTCGATGGCTCTAATCATCAGAGAGATTTTCCGCGCGATATATCCAACACCCGGGCGGAGTTTTGTTCGCGAGGGATGAGCCCGTCGATTCACGTTACACGCGCGGAAAAAGAATTACTCCGACTCGACACGCCGCTGGGCAACGACATTCCGCCGTTCCCAAGTCTCCATGGTGTAAATAGGAAGAATTCGCTCGCATTCAAATCGGTCGTATCCAACTCACCTGTAGTAGGCCGCACCGGTTAGGAGCGCGACACTGAAAGCCGTATAAGTGGCCAGTGACGGGAAGGGCATTTTCTCAAGGAGTTGGGCACCACTCGAAAAATCAGACATAATTTATTCTAGGGCTATATCCCTCGTCTCGTTCGTGAACCTTTCGTCGTCGCAACGGTTCACGAAATCTTCTTCACCACCAGGTAAACGAGCGAAGGAGCACGAAAACGTCCACACTGTGGTTCCGGTGGATCCGCTGTATCGTGCGCTGCGCCGACCCGCACCGACTGCACATTAACGTTCTATCGGTAAGCGCTAGCGCTGCTTCCTTCCAAGAGCGATGAAGAGACACTCCTCCTCTTCTCTTGTGTTAGAGTCCACCCGGGTTAGAACCGCTTCCCACAACGGCAGCCATATCCACAATAAACGGCATCCACAGAAGTGCACGACGACCACGACCACTACCACCACCCGCACGACGACGACGACGGTAGGAGAAACTCGGGTTGAACGGAAGAACGAGAAGGTTAGAGGGGGACGATACGACGGAAACACGACGGAAGTCTAGTTGTCCATTAGATCAAGTTCCATGAGAACTTTCCGTCAGCACCAGGCCTGCTGCTTAAGTGCCCGTTCGCTCGTCGGTTCTTCGTGAAGATCTTGCCGTGTAGCAGATCTTGCTGTCGCTCAGAGCAGGGAGAGAATTTCGGGAAAGGGTGGTGCACGAAAGCAACCACCATGCACAATTCAACAACAGCACCGCCACAACTCGTTGCAGCAGCAGCGGCAGCGGCACCGCCAGCGACAGCATCGACCACCACTCCGAAGGCACAAACACGCACAGACATAACATCAAAAAAAACACATGGTTCCCGATCTCGAGCAAAAGACGGCATCGCTGCCGACTTTCACATCGTCGGACGCCGGCTGCCGCTAGCGACCATTGATGTGGAGGTAGGCACCTCGCCGGGACCCGGTGATCTCATCGATCACGGCGGTTTTGCGCTTGAAAACCATGAGGTTATCGAGGAGCTCCACACCACTGCGCGACTCGATTCTTCCTTTCGCGTCGAAATTCCTGCAAGGGTGGATTCCACTACGTCACGATCAGATGCCCGCAGGGATGCGATGTTGTCAATTCATTACGAACGACACACACCAGCTATCACTTGAATAGACGAGCATTCGTTGCACAATATTCCTGCGGATTCAATCATCGCTGCTCACAACCATGGCATCGGGTACCGCAGCCCCGACAGCATGAACGACGATCGGCGCAGGAGCGATTAAGCTCTGGATTGTGAAAGTTTTGAAGATTCAACCTTGTTCATCCATCATGATGACCCTCATTTTCTGACGCTCAAGATGTCATCATCCATGGCACGGACATCGCTCACAAAAATTGAGAGAAATCAATATTTCTCGATAGTCGCACGGCGCATTTTCCGCACCTTTTCGTAGCTTTCGCGAATTTCCCCTGATCTAACCTGACGCTGAATATGAGTTTTTCGAGTTCAATTCTTTAGATTCCGTGATGGAAAAATTTCGGACGAGAAGGATTAACCTGGAGGGGCAGAAGCGATCAGAGCGGTCAGAGATATTCTTCGCTATCTTGGGTACAATTTCCTGCGGTAAGATACGCGGCCCGCCGGAAAAAGGCCTCGCCGCACGGGGGTCGCCTCTAAATCTCCGATTTCCGATGCGGATCTCGTTCCGGGAGTCCGTTCGAAGAATCCACGGGAAATTTTCCAATCAGAAATTCTAATGAGCCGAAAGATAGAGCGCTCGGACTCCGAGCTCAGATCATCCGAATAGCGGAGTCTTTTGCTGTCGAAAACTATTCTCCGGGCGAACACGTGCTGCTCTATCGACTCCACCCCGCTATGGTCTATGTCGTTCCTTAAAGTTTGCTCAGACGGCCTCTCGACAGCTCGACTCTGTTGGGGGTGCCTATCTATCTCCGCTGGCCTCCGAAGATTGGACCTCCAGAAAGATCTCGAATAATTCTAGAAGCTGGCAGCTAAGGCGAGGCCCGATTCTCGCTCAGACTGAACGCTCACTTAGACGAAGATCCGCGTTGGACAAGCACTCTGAGCCCTTCTCTCCCGATATAACATTTCCGTACAATGACGAGCCAGAATTTGATCCCGAATTCTCTACAGCTCCAGCAGCCTGTTCATCCTCTTTCCTCTTATGGTTCTTGATATGGATGGATGTAGTAATGAAATAATTTCAGGGCGGCTGGAATTGAGCAGTCTACAATGTAAGGGCCAGTTGCGGAGGGTCGGAAAATCAACGCGGGCATGCCTTTCAATTAAAATATGTACGGGAGGCTCTTGTCCCTGACGGTTCATTTCCCTATTGGCTTCCGCAGACCGTATATGTACGAAAATTCGAGTTCCATCTCTCTACCACAGGTACGGAAGATGATTCGACCAATTCATAAATTTTCATCGTCTCGAATTCAGTAATTTCTCTGCACACATTCCAATAATATTTTCGACTTCAATCACGAATCACGACGCCCCGCGGTGTGACGAACCCCGTGGCGCACTAAACTCATGATAAATCCGAAACTTAAGGCTTTCCATCCAGCATCTAGTCTCCCATAGCCGGGAAAGAATGCTTCGAAACCCGCTCTACGCCCGCCCTTGACGGACATGATGTCCAGCAAAAGAAGATTCATTGAAGCTATCTGTCTCATCCCAATGAGAGCGCCTGTGAAGTAATCCATCGGTGCGTCTTCAGGCTCCGGCGAAGCTTTCGCTCCGGTAGCATCCGTATTGAACTTTCGCAAAATTGCATTCAGAACACGTTCGGTGATGCCGTCTTCTCCGATAAGTGGAGTGCAATGACGTGCGAAAGGGAGAGTATCTACTCGCAGAAAAGAGAACGAATGAGCTCATCCCATTGCTACTTTCTACGTGAGTCCTCCGTGCTGTCTCCCGGACGGGACTGTCTCGTCTTGGTACGCTTGATCGTCGACAGATGGATTCCCTCCGGTTTTTCGACCGCATCTCACGGACAGCGATCAGAGCCGGGAGATGAATATCCGTGCTATTCGATTTGCTGGTGGATCGGTGGTTGATGAAGCTTCCTTCAACCTGAACAAAAGAACTCCGGCAGAACGATTTTGGGAAAATTTGTTCGCAGAACCGTTGTCTCAGAATATGAGAATTGTCTGAGTCATGATTGGAATGGCGCAAGCGTTGCCACAGATATCTCGACCACGTGACCCTCGGCTCGGACACTGATTCCGTTAATGAAGACAGTGGCTTTCATGGGTCGTCGAGCGTGATTTCCACATGAACTGGTGCGACGCGTACATAATCTGACCTTTATTTCTCACTCGACCTTCCGAGCTCAATGAAGGTGCCCCAGGGGAATCGATTGATTGATTAAAAATCGAGCGCTCCAGAACCGAAGAAACCGGCCGAGAAACAAGACGGGATCGGGGCATAGCTTCCCGAGTCTATTCTGATCTTCGGTGGACGTCTGCTTTCACACTTCCACCTCCTGTGTTCCAGCTCCTCTCCACCTGAATCCGCGAACAAACGGCGAGTTCAACCAGATCTGGCAGGGAAAGTCATCGGAGGGAATCCAGCTGCGAAGACAGCGGATACCCTGAAGATGTTTGCTCATGAATCGAATGTGAGAATCATGACCTCCGATGAAAGATCGAATCTGTCTCTCATACAGCATGTCTACGCATCCAGCAGCATCGGCATTAGTGACCGATGGTTAGCCGATCGTCGGCGGAAACTCGCTTTTCCGCCTTCCAACCAGGCTCGGTATAAGTTATGAGCCGGACTGAAGATTTACGATTTTGGCAAACCCCAAGTTTCCGAAGCCAGAGGTCGCCAGTTTCATGAATTACCAGAAGTTGATGAGGGGATTGGGGTAAGTTGAATATTCGATGAGAGCCAGTGGATAGTCGTCAGAGTAGGAGACCAAGGAGACGGACGTCAGCGTCGCGTCGTCTTGGGAGCGGGTGCTTGGTTCGAACTACCCGAGTACTATGGGAGCATTTCTCGTTTCAGCAAAATCAGATGAGTTCTCTCAAGTACATCGGTACAAAACTGATGCGCGATTCTTTCCTCGTCGTCTTCCGTCTCCGGGTCGGCCCGGGTTCGATATCTTGATCCACCTGGGGCCGCTCATGAGCCGTGGGTTTCCCTATTGGTCAAGAGGCGAGACCAGGTTGGTGCTGAATTTTGGCGCTAACGGCCACACAAGGAAAATCGCACACGTGAGGCTTCGTCGAGTGATTGGGGACGGTCTTGAACAGTTGCTGAAGACTGAATACCCGCGGACTCCTGAGGACCTGCAGCGGATCGAGCGCGCCAATTGTTGGAAGCGGCATAGTTCTCCGGAGCTCAACACAATACCATAGTTCGAGTCACGGCATTCAGCTCAGTGTCGGACATAGGGTTCGCACTGAATGAATGGCTTTGAATTCGGACTCTATTGCGAGAGGACCGCGGAGAGGGTAGAAAACAGCACATCGTTTCGCGGTAGAACAATTCCCTGGGTCTTGGCTATCCGCGATTCGTTGCAACCTGCGTTTGGAGTCTATCGTTCCTACAGCAGCTATTTCCGGCATTTCCGGGCTCCTGAGTGAAATCGGCGGTTTCACGAGTTGATGGATCATGTCGGGTTCACCACTTGACCAGACGGAGGCTCTATTGCTTCACGAGAATGTAGAAAACGACTCGAATAAAATGGACGAGATGTCCGATGAAAAGCGTTTCCGTTTTCCTCTTTGAATAGGAAGGAGCAAACGGGGATGGAAAACAAAGTCGAGTGAGAGTGCCGTTACACGACCACAGGCCGCTTGATCGACCGGCTCTATCGGCCGATATCAGCCCCTTGGCTACAACCACGCTCAAAGCGCTCATTCCCCGGATTTCTTACCGACGGATTTCACTAGAGAAAAAGTCATCATTACGAAAACATAAAAGACAAACTTCATTTCCCGATGTCGGCGCGTGAGTGAACTGTTCGACCGATCCTGCTCTGACAGAAGGAATCAATCAGAAGATGCTGCTGCAGCAGCGCTTGCCCCCTTTTGCTGACTGGGGGGCTGACGAAGTCGAAAAGCCCAGAAGTCAAACGGTAAT